TCGAAGAGATCGAGATTGATCAAGAAGACAGATTGATCAAGTAGATCGACCATCGAGAAGATCTGCGATCGGACAGGTTAGGGATCGGTCAAAGAGATCGAATATCAGTAATCGGCCAAGAAGATCGATGATTAGTGATCGGCCAAGAAGATCGACGATCAGCGATCGGCCAAAGAGATCGACGAGCGGTGATCGGTCGAGAAGATCGATGGTCAGCGATCGGCCAAAGAGATCGACGAGCGGTGATTGGTCGAGAGATCGTCGATCGGCGATCGGTCGAGGAGATTGGCAATCGGTCGAGGAGATCGACGATCGATCGAAGAGATTGCAATCGGGGAGAATGGCGACCGGAAAGATCGGCGATCCGTCTGAAGTGAACTACACATGCGAAGATCAATCACCGAAAAATAGAGGACGCGTAGCAGAACGTCCTAGCATATAGATAGGCACAATTACAGCCTTAGCTCTTGGTTGGTTGACATTAAACAGAATTTTAGTTGCTTCTAAGTACACGCGTCGACTTCTCTTCCGGGTTGGAATATTGTCCTTCCGACGTAAAGAAAGTAAAGAATACTAAAACCAAGTGATATCCCCGTATTATTGGCTGGGGATCAAGAATTCTCACACAAACACCCGTCCAACTGCGATCGGACGCAGTAAGAACAATAAAGACACGACGCAAGATCGCGAGACGGCTCAAGTGGTTAGAAGGCTCGCGAATCAAGCATCCACACGGTGGACAAGGCATCTCGTTGAGATCTGGGTGACTTATATCGAACACCTACAAGTACCCCGTGATCGCGCGAAGATTTCCGCCCGATCACACCAACCCATTTAAAACACGGTCAAGTTTTCTATCGACACGAGTCCACCGAGAAGAAAGAGGACCGCCCTTCAGACGGGTACACAAGGCGAGCAAGGAATTACAAGACACGATAACTATGTACCCCCTCCGATAGTCGGTCGTTTGGGCACCAGTGGAGAGCCGGGATTGCCTCATAAAATGAGCGATTGCCACTCCGCCACAAGAGTCCTCACACTCCTGGCTAAATAACTCCAGGAGTGATCTCCCTGCCCTTGGTGTTGAAGTTTCTGACGTCGGGAGGCAAAATATCCAACCCGGAAGAAGAAAGACACGCGTGTGTTTAGAAGCAAATTAAACTCTCGTGTGGTTTTGGATTTTGGTTGGTTAACATTAAAGAGAGTAACATTTGCTTCTAAAGACACGCATGTGTTTAGAAGCAAATTGAACTCTTTTTAATGTTAACCAACTAAAACCCAAAAACATAACCACGCCTACCCCGTATGTCAGGATTGACCGTCACGTGTCTTCTCCATGCCGAATGGATTTGCAATCCTTCTATCTCACGTGGACTACGCCAGATCGCGGTTCCCTAATCGCGGTACTTTAATCGCGGTCCTTTAATCGCGGTTCCTTAATATTCATAAAGTATAGGAACGTATGGACTAGATCGGCTTGAGCCCGTTCGGTTCCTTCAACGGTAACATCCAAATAGGTAACTGTCATCCTACGAGCGATTCAGCCAATACAACCTCGTACTTAGTTGAATCACCAAGGCTTTTGGACCCGATCTCGATCGGCTTTACCACAATCGCCCCCTGCACAACTATTCGATCCACAACATCCGGCTGGCTTGTGCACGTGTTCTGTCGTCATTTTCTGTTTTAGCGTTAGCCATGGCGTCCACGTCGTCCACATCGTCCAAGCCCCATCGTGCCTCGACCGATGTGTTTTGCACTGGTGACGCGTTACCTCACCCGGTTGGCTCCACATTGACAACCGTCAATGCATCGCCTGGTACTTCGAGTGATACCACTACGGTATATCCTCAGTGCAATTCTTGCAACCTCTGCTGACGATCGGCCAAATGGACTTCAGCCCCATAGGAGCGATTCCATTGCCGATCGCTCGAGTCGAATCGCCGCCGATGGCCGATCAAGCGGCTGCGATCGAGATGCTCGCTGGTCTTTATCAGCGGATCGAGTTTGAGCAAAACTGCGTCGATCGCTACGTTGATCTGGAGCAAGCGTTGAGGGAACAGACTCGTCGAGGTGATCGGCTGGAGTAAAAGCTTCTTTTCCTTGCTGAGTCGGCCTCTCCGTTTGTGACTTCGTTCAAGTCCGATACAAACGTCTTCGCTTGACCTCGAAGATGCGCGTGCGGAGGCCGCCTTAATTCGGGAGGAAGTATACGCGGGTCAGTGTCAAGAGCATTAGATTGAAGACTTGAAGGTGAAGCTTTTGAAGGCGACTCGATCGCTTCATGGTTCACGGGAACGTCACGATTCGGAGTTGGCAGCCTTGCGACAGCACATAAATGATGGAATACCCGAATGCATGCTGCACTCACCCAAGAGACCGCGAGACATCAGAAGGTCCAATCGAAGAAAGAACGACACAAGGCTGGCTATTCCCAGGTCCAGACCAATTTTTGCCGTCTGCGCAATGCTCTTGCGGCACTGGTGGTAGAGCGCGATCAGGGTTTGTGCGATCTCGCTGAGCCCGAAGTCGATCGCGATCGGTTACGCTCTTTTCTCGCCGATCCGGACGATCAAGTGGATCGGCTCCAGACTGAGATCTCGAATCTAGAGTCAGAGCGCGATCTAGCATTGCGCGATCGGGATGCTCTTCAGGTGAGTATTGCCTCATTCTCTACCAGCGTATCCGTCCCTCTTTCTTTCCCTTCTGTCGCGGAGGCCTCATCCCGTTCTTAACCATCATGCGTAAAAGGACCAGCAAAGTCCATGGCCACCCGTGGCAAACGTCCCAGATCTTTTGCTCTTGTTCTTTCTCTGCGGAACAAAAGGGCCAAGACAAGGGCTTCCTATACTCCCGGAGCGATTCAGCCAATACAACCTCGTACTTAGTTGAATCACCAAGGCTTTTGGACCCGATCTCGATCGGCTTTACCACAATCGCCCCCTGCACAACTATTCGATCCACAACATCCGGCTGGCTTGTGCACGTGTTCTGTCGTCATTTTCTGTTTTAGCGTTGGCCATGGCGTCCACGTCGTCCACATCGTCCAAGCCCCATCGTGCCTCGACCGATGTGTTTTGCACTGGTGACGCGTTACCTCACCCGGTTGGCTCCACATTGACAACCGTCAATGCATCGCCTGGTACTTCGAGTGATACCACTACGGTATATCCTCAGTGCAATTCTTGCAACCTCTGCTGACGATCGGCCAAATGGACTTCAGCCCCATAGGAGCGATTCCATTGCCGATCGCTCGAGTCGAATCGCCGCCGATGGCCGATCAAGCGGCTGCGATCGAGATGCTCGCTGGTCTTTATCAGCGGATCGAGTTTGAGCAAAACTGCGTCGATCGCTACGTTGATCTGGAGCAAGCGTTGAGGGAACAGACTCGTCGAGGTGATCGGCTGGAGTAAAAGCTTCTTTTCCTTGCTGAGTCGGCCTCTCCGTTTGTGACTTCGTTCAAGTCCGATACAAACGTCTTCGCTTGACCTCGAAGATGCGCGTGCGGAGGCCGCCTTAATTCGGGAGGAAGTATACGCGGGTCAGTGTCAAGAGCATTAGATTGAAGACTTGAAGGTGAAGCTTTTGAAGGCGACTCGATCGCTTCATGGTTCACGGGAACGTCACGATTCGGAGTTGGCAGCCTTGCGACAGCACATAAATGATGGAATACCCGAATGCATGCTGCACTCACCCAAGAGACCGCGAGACATCAGAAGGTCCAATCGAAGAAAGAACGACACAAGGCTGGCTATTCCCAGGTCCAGACCAATTTTTGCCGTCTGCGCAATGCTCTTGCGGCACTGGTGGTAGAGCGCGATCAGGGTTTGTGCGATCTCGCTGAGCCCGAAGTCGATCGCGATCGGTTACGCTCTTTTCTCGCCGATCCGGACGATCAAGTGGATCGGCTCCAGACTGAGATCTCGAATCTAGAGTCAGAGCGCGATCTAGCATTGCGCGATCGGGATGCTCTTCAGGTGAGTATTGCCTCATTCTCTACCAGCGTATCCGTCCCTCTTTCTTTCCCTTCTGTCGCGGAGGCCTCATCCCGTTCTTAACCATCATGCGTAAAAGGACCAGCAAAGTCCATGGCCACCCGTGGCAAACGTCCCAGATCTTTTGCTCTTGTTCTTTCTCTGCGGAACAAAAGGGCCAAGACAAGGGCTTCCTATACTCCCGGAGCGATTCAGCCAATACAACCTCGTACTTAGTTGAATCACCAAGGCTTTTGGACCCGATCTCGATCGGCTTTACCACAATCGCCCCCTGCACAACTATTCGATCCACAACATCCGGCTGGCTTGTGCACGTGTTCTGTCGTCATTTTCTGTTTTAGCGCTAGCCATGGCGTCCACGTCGTCCACATCGTCCAAGCCCCATCGTGCCTCGACCGATGTGTTTTGCACTGGTGACGCGTTACCTCACCCGGTTGGCTCCACATTGACAACCGTCAATGCATCGCCTGGTACTTCGAGTGATACCACTACGGTATATCCTCAGTGCAATTCTTGCAACCTCTGCTGACGATCGGCCAAATGGACTTCAGCCCCATAGGAGCGATTCCATTGCCGATCGCTCGAGTCGAATCGCCGCCGATGGCCGATCAAGCGGCTGCGATCGAGATGCTCGCTGGTCTTTATCAGCGGATCGAGTTTGAGCAAAACTGCGTCGATCGCTACGTTGATCTGGAGCAAGCGTTGAGGGAACAGACTCGTCGAGGTGATCGGCTGGAGTAAAAGCTTCTTTTCCTTGCTGAGTCGGCCTCTCCGTTTGTGACTTCGTTCAAGTCCGATACAAACGTCTTCGCTTGACCTCGAAGATGCGCGTGCGGAGGCCGCCTTAATTCGGGAGGAAGTATACGCGGGTCAGTGTCAAGAGCATTAGATTGAAGACTTGAAGGTGAAGCTTTTGAAGGCGACTCGATCGCTTCATGGTTCACGGGAACGTCACGATTCGGAGTTGGCAGCCTTGCGACAGCACATAAATGATGGAATACCCGAATGCATGCTGCACTCACCCAAGAGACCGCGAGACATCAGAAGGTCCAATCGAAGAAAGAACGACACAAGGCTGGCTATTCCCAGGTCCAGACCAATTTTTGCCGTCTGCGCAATGCTCTTGCGGCACTGGTGGTAGAGCGCGATCAGGGTTTGTGCGATCTCGCTGAGCCCGAAGTCGATCGCGATCGGTTACGCTCTTTTCTCGCCGATCCGGACGATCAAGTGGATCGGCTCCAGACTGAGATCTCGAATCTAGAGTCAGAGCGCGATCTAGCATTGCGCGATCGGGATGCTCTTCAGGTGAGTATTGCCTCATTCTCTACCAGCGTATCCGTCCCTCTTTCTTTCCCTTCTGTCGCGGAGGCCTCATCCCGTTCTTAACCATCATGCGTAAAAGGACCAGCAAAGTCCATGGCCACCCGTGGCAAACGTCCCAGATCTTTTGCTCTTGTTCTTTCTCTGCGGAACAAAAGGGCCAAGACAAGGGCTTCCTATACTCCCGGACCCCCCCCCCGCAGTCGTCAGTCTAGGCGACCTCAAAAACTTAGGCTTTGTATGTACCCAACGTATACACCACGTCGTCTTCACCTGGTAGGAATCTGAAGTAAAGCATTCCCTGTCCCTCCGCCGTTCCAAGCGATCCGCGGCAAAGCAATCGCCCCAACCACCCGTTCCGTCCGAATTTGGTGGTCGTAAGGGGAAAGGTAGACTGTGCGTATCGAACGCTTCTACGCTCCGCTTGGATGCTGATGAGTCATCAGATGAGGAGTCCCAAACTTTAGCTGCACTCTCTCGATCGCGCTCTTCTTCCCGGCGTATGGTTCCGTCCGGTAGCCCGCTGGCTCCGACCTCCACTTTGCTCGATTTGATCGTTGTGAGCACCCCTAGACCTGCGTTAGGTTCTCCTACTTCCCCGATCGCTGCTTCTCCTACGCCTAAAACCAAGATTTCCGAGGTCGACTTGTTTGGCGAAGCTTCTAGCAGTTCGGATGGCGAGATCAATGTTGCGGAAGAATCTCGATCTCCCATCAACACGCTGTTGTCTTCAGCCGAGTGCGATGCTCTTCTCCAGACCAAGGTGTCACGCGATCAATGGATACCCGGGTATCGTTGTCGCGTTCCGAGATCTTCTTTTAAGTTTCACCTTGGTCTGCTCGTCGGGTGAGCTGGATCAGCATGTACGAACTAGACTTGTAATTTTTCTGTCGCCATCTTGCCAGGCCGAAGCATGACCCTTCCCAGCTCCTCCCAGTAAGTCGATAACATCTCCTGTGTTGGAGTGGTCTTCTCGCCTGGCTTCTTTGGCGCAGATCGCCACACTTTACCGCCAGGAGCCTTGGAAGTCTCTGAAGGTGAAGATCGCTCCCTTGTCCTTCCCGCCTACTGGATGGTTCGAACGATTACTGGATCTGTACCACTCATTCACGGATCGCCATATCCAGACTATGTGGGATTCGACCCACACTTTGCTGATTTCCTCCGCCGATCGGGTTAGCGATCCTGGGTTGGTGCTGTACTGTGATCAGCGCAAGCAAAGGTGCTTGCGAGCTGGACCCCGCTGAAAACCCGTTCTGCGATTCATACTCCAGGGTCAGTGGAAGGACATTGTGACTTGGACATTCTGCTGGATCCAATTTCTTGCATCTCCCTCGTTCGACTGGGAAGCAGTTCTGGCACCCTGGGTTGAGGACTCAGAAAACCGATTCTCCCAAACCTGGCCTCCACTTTATTGCTAAAGAACTCTGCTGAGACGTGGAGCAAATAGTGCCGAGCTTTGATCGTGGATCATCCAGGCATGTCGATCCCTCGCCTAGCCGGCAAGTTTTTCCTTCGGTAGTCTGTTTGGTTCAATGCAATTTTAAGTTCCATTTCCATTTCTTCATGCTGTTTTTATCTTGATACACCTAGGAACTATCTTCTTCCTTTTTTATTCTATTAGTCTCGTGGACCGCCATTGTGTTTCGATCTCCACACATACTTGCAATCAGCCCTTCCTTCTTCACGCATCACCTCCTGATGCAATTGTTCCCATCTTACAACATGTGCAACCCCCTTGCATATTTCCGCCATTCCTCCATTCTCATACACAGCCTCCCAGTATACTCTTCACCTCCTTACAACCGTATGCAACCTCCTAGCATACTTACACACTCCAACCACCCCGATTTGGTCTAGGCCCCTGGATCTTCTTCATGCGTTTGCATAATTTCAAAATGATCTGACTTATTCAGTCGCGATCAAATTCTTGCAGTAAGGCTCCACGATTCAAATGTGCTTTATTTACCCATTAAGAATCGCTATAACCTTTCCATTATACTAGAAATTGACGGTGTACTCGCCCGTAGCGTGTTTTTCGACCTGATCGCACATCCATAATTTTCTTTACCTCGAATTCGTCATCATCCGATTCATCTTCCCAACTATCTTCCGAAAGTAGGGCTTCATCAAAGTCAACTCAATCAGAATCGTCTACATTCACCCAACTTTGGGGTCGTTCTGGGAACACCTTTACTGGCTTCAGTTTGGATACATGAACGACCGGGAACGACCGATAGGATAAGCCTGCGATCGCCAATTTCACTACATGGTCTCCACATTTTTCAACCACTCGGAACGGTCCGTTTTACACATGAGCTAACTCTCGGGCACATTCATCTTTGACGCAATCCAGATGCAACCATACTTGTGATCCTTGGTCAATATACAACAAATCGCGGTCTACGTTATGACGATCCGCTCGGTCTTGAATTGCTGACTTCAGGCGATTGTTCACGATTGCCCTCGCTTTTTGATATTGGAGCTGTATATGATACCTCCATCTTCTGGGGTCGCGATCGCGAGGTTTAACACTCCCTAGCGGCAAATTCGCTTCCAACGTCGATCGAGTGTCCCAACCATGGACCAAATAGAACGGCGTTTCCCCGCGGACTCAACCTTGCGTGGTATTAATCGCGTAAGTCAATTGTTCGGCGCATTCGTCTCAAGGTCTCTGGTTTTCATCAGTGGCATATTTTAATTGGTCGCGACAGGCTTTGAACCATGCGTTCCGCGGTTCCGTTGGCTTGAGGTCGATAGGCCATTGTGGACCGTAGCCTCCGTCCCGCGATCTTGTTGAACGCCCGAAAGAAATCAGACATAAATCCTGGCTCTCGGTCATGACGGATGATTTCACTCGCACCGAATCTTCGAAATACACTTTCTTCATAGTTTTATGTGATTGTATGTGCAGTTCGGGATGAGCTCGCCTTTGCATACACATAGCCCGAGAACAGATCGACCCACAGCAGTAACTCTGTATCACCTTTAAACGATCGCGGTAGAGACGGAATATGATCCATTGCCAGAATTTGGAAAGGTTAAGTCGCTTGTAAATTTCCTGGCGATCTACCTTGATCTTGCGGGCGAACCTTACCGTTTCACAATCCACACTTCGCTAACATAGCGTTGCACGCTTCGTTACAATCCTCGCCAACGTAGATTTTCCTTGATCCGCTGGTATGTACGTTCCACTCCTTGATATCCTTCTTCCAAACTAGTATGGTAATGGTGTGAGACGTCTTGTTGCAACAATTCGGGAATTACCAGACAAACCGGCTCTCTTCGATCTTCGCTTTTTGCTGCTGCCCTTGGACAGAAAAGTAACAGTCCGCTTTGAATCGACTTCGTAGTTCAGTGCGATTAGGAGGCAAATCTTTGCGTAGCTAACATTCAGCGCGGCTATATCCCCGATCAGATACGTCTTCAAGTCCAACATCCAACTCTCCTCAATCCGTTTGATCCGGACCTGATGTACAACCATCTCTCGCAAAACTGTCGGAGGGGGGTCTTCTTCGCGTCGCTGATCGAGTGATCGCTGCCACTTTGACTGGCTGGTAGGTTTGTCTCGCTATCAGCAACTCCTTTAGCCAATTAAGGACCATGAGATTATTTCGCCCATGGTCTGATAATACGACATCCCCTTTCTTTTGCTGTAAAGCCTCGCACGCTAGCCGATCAGCACTCTGGGTTCAGTCTCTTTTTATGTGTAGAAATTCATGCTTTGGCCACGATCGGAGTTTCTCCGTTGCCTTATGTTTTAGCAATTGTAAACCGGGAGCTTTACGATCAATTTCGCCTCGCAGCTGCCTTATCACCAAGTTCGAGTCACCAAAGAAGATCACCCGTCGCCTAGTCTTGATCGGACAGTGAATCCGATTCAAGGATCAGTCCGCGATATTCCTCCTCATTCACTGTCAAATCCTCTGCAAACTCAGACGTAGCCGCCACGATTTGCCACTCAGGTAACTTTCATATTTTCGCACTGTAAGCCCCGCCTTTCTTCTTTACCCTAGACGATTCATCGAAGCTTACCACCAGGAGATTTTCGTCTGTTTCTAATGTGGGTGGTAGAATGCTTATGGTTTGATGTGGCTATATTCTCGGAGCGTTCGCGATCAGCATTTCGTCTACGTCTTTGCGGGGTGTCACACTTGCAGCTAGAGTGCCCAACACTTCGTCTTTGCCTTTTTCGCATCGTCGAATCTCTAACGTCCAGTTGATATTAATGCTGACCACATCCCTAGTCTTCCGTTGAGACCAGACGACTGTAATAGCCAAGCCAACGTCGAATATCTCGTAAGCACCATAATTTCTCGTGAGACCATCATCGTGTAACAACTGTCCAATATTCGGAGGAGAGCTAACACCTTATTCTGGAATATTCCGTAATTGACTTCATTTGACTTCAGCGTGTGGCTAGAAAAGGTGACTGGCTAATGTGTGCCATCATATTCATGGAGAAGTGTAGCTGATACCGCCCACTTACAGGTGCTCGATCTGGGTCGAAATGTCTTATGGTCGGGGTTTCGGCAATTTTGGCTTTTAGCTAAGTAAAAGCTGTTGCTGCTTTCTTCCATCGACTTCTGCTTCCAGATTCCGGATCGCCCCAAATTTTTGTCCAGATCACGCTTTGTGTTCAAGTCCAGATCGCCCCCGGTTTTTAAGCCAGGAGAATATCCGGACCCAACTCGTGAATAGCGATCGCGATCAGATTCGATTTCTGATATGGATAACTGAAACTCTTTGTCTGGGATGATCTCATGAAAATATGTCTTCCGCAGCTCATAAAGCACAGAAGTATATATCGCAAAGTCTTCAATAAAGCCGCTGTGGTAATTTAGGCTTCCCAAGAATGACTGCATAGATTTCAGAGTTCGAGGGAAGGGAATGCTCATAATCGAGTCTAAGTCTTTGGGTTGGGCGTCCAACCCCTTGAGCGACACTTGATGACCTAGGTAGTCAACCTTACGACACTCTCAGAAAGTTTTGGCTACACTGATCGATAGGTTCCATTTGTAACACACTTCTAAGAGTCTTTCCACCCTTTCATGTATGAAAGTCCA